AGGTGGGGCTACTATTACCACTGAGGCTGGAAGATCAAGGACCAAGGGGGTGGAGAATGGAGCCAGGCCCGCCGGTCCTGGGGCACTGACAAGCCAGCAGACAGCATCACATTTCAGGAGGAGCTCTGGGAAGAGGCAGCAGGGCTGCCGAGCCAGGTGCCCAAAGATGTGGGGAAGGAGCTGTCTGATCACCAGACTCAAACTTGTTCCAGATGTTGCCTTTTCCTTTTAAGTCTGGCAGATCACTGCGTTCTGCACCCAAGGGGAGAAACAGATGCCAGCTGCAAGTTTCAGAGCAAGATGCAAGGCCACAACCTCCTCCCACAGCCACCCCAGGCTGGAGGAGACCCCAGGGAGGAGTACCTGGATGGTCTCTCATCCCTGGAGATCTGCTCTTATAGAGGATCATCTGTCTAGGCTCTGATGGCCCCTGGCCTGCAGGGGCTGCTGACTGTCCAGGTACTCTCATGCTAGCCTGGTCTCAGCTCTGGCCTTACACCCTGGGGCTGGGCATGCTCAGCTCCTAGCTAACCAGAAAATGTTTCAAGAAGGTTTTCAGGAGTGTGCCAGGAGCTCAGGACAGAAGAGTCCTTCAACGCCAGTCTGAAGAGTATGGTAACAAGGCATCTTGGTGCTGAGGGTGATAAAGGCTTTAGGAGGAGTTGTCAAATGGCAGCTTGAAATAAACCAGGGGGAGTAGTCCTGAAACAGCCAAGACATTCTGCAGTGCCTGGTGAGGCCCAGCGAGCTCTGACCAACTGAAAGGACAACACACGAGTGGGCAGTGACAGCTCGCATCACCCTCCCTAAGGGCAGTCACCTCAGCACCGGAGCAGGACTACTGGGACTCCTTCCTCTCTGCTTTCACCCTAACGTTAACAGTTAGCCCCTGGTCACCTACACCACGCTGGCACGGGAAAGAACTTCACATGTATTCTCTCATTTCCATCTCATAATAACCCATGACACAGTTACTTCATTTACCTTCATTTCACAGATAATAAAATTGCGGCTTGGAGATGTGAATGACTTGCCTAAGGCCACAATTAAGAAACGTTGGTCCCACACCAAGGTCCACTCTCTAAACCACCCTATTTCTGCTGCCTCTACCCAATTTCTACTGAATATCGTGGCACCCCCCAGTGGTTTCCAGGCCTGGCCACCAAAGAGATGTCAACTTCCTGCTCCAGAGCTACCTGGCCCTAGGTAGGTCCTGCAGCTCAGCCACCCCGGAGTGTCCAAACCCCTCCTCATCTCTTCACTGGGGCCTTCTGATGGCAGGAGGCCTGGCTGTTTCAGCAGAGCATCATGTGACACTCCATCTCCATACCTGCAATTATGTATGCCACCTGTTAGAGAAGACAGTGCCTCCACAGGGCCCTTCAGGTGACAACTAGACAGGCAGGGTAACTCTGGTTAACTGGTTAACAAGCATCCTCCAAGAAACATTTTCTGAAACCTACTCTCAACACATGTGGTCCTGCACCATCACTGCCTTTTTCTTGCTTGTACCTGTCTCTGGACAAAGCTCTTCGGGCTGGGGAGAGGTCTTATTCTGGCCTGTATCCCAGTATTAGACACAAGGGACCTCTCAGTGAGGACCTGCTAACTGGATGGTACTTCCCTCAGATGCCTTGTATTGAAGCATGATGTCTGGATCACATCCTTAACTTGGCCCTAAGCTGCTTGAAAGCTGCTACCCTGGCTTCTCCCTCTTCCTACACCTTCTCCAAACTCTGGGAAGAAAAGAAGCTAGTGCCCAGCAGGTGTGCTGTGCACAGGTGAGTGGGTGGCAGAGCCCTTTTCCCAGCCCTCACAGGGCTGATTGGCACTGTCTCCTTCTCTAGGTCTCAGCTGATGTCTCATCCTCAAAGAAGCCTTCCTGGACCAGTTCATCGCCAGACCCCAGGTGCCTGAGCCCCTGGCCTGTTTACAGCCTCCACGGCACTCATCACAGTCAGTAACCATTTCAGTTGGTTGCTTCTTTCTCGCAGACTAGACTGTGAGCTCCATGGAGCAGAGACCATCTCTGTCCCCATCATCCCTGTGCTGTCACACAGAGCCTAGGACAGCGCTGGGCACACAGCAGGTGCTCAGTAAGCATGCAGAATAAATGGGAAAGGGTCTTCAGTGAAACAAAAGCCAAGAGCAGAGCAGAAAGCGAACTTGTCCACCTTTATTTCTCTCTCAGGGACCAAAACCAAAGTTCTGAGAAGGCAGATGCCCAGGACTTCCAACTCTCCACGTGTTCACACATTCCAGCCCAAGGGGCTCAGGGCAGATCACCTCCCGAGAGCTGTCAGTGTGAGGGCAGCACTGTTTCGACCAGTGGAACGAAGCAGCATTTTCACTGGACCCAGCCCGGGAGCTCAGCTCCTGACCCATCAGGCAACAGAACACAAGTGACCACAGCAGTGACCAAGCACAGCGCTAATGGCTCTGGACATACCCTAAGGCCCCATCACGCAGGCCAGGCGCCACATCAGGGGCAGGTACTAGTCAAGGGTCATGCCAATGACTCAGCCCTGCATGCAGGCAGAGGAAATGGCTCAGATTAAGCTAACTATAGCTCTGCTGGAAGGACTTGATAAAACTTAAAAAGATGTATTAGTCTCTAATATACAGAGGTTCATGTGGCTAATGCCAGAGTAAGGATTTGCCTTGAGTGACTTGTCCAGCTATAGCACTGGGCTACCCTGACCATTCCTACCATGCACCCCGTTGGGACCACTACTGCACTCATAACAGCGGGGGACAGGCATGGTGAGTTGAGTGCAGGGTCAAGGTGCCTGGCCCCCATGAGAATGGACCTGCTGACCTGGACCTCATGAGCGCTATGCTCAGTTTCAGAGCCAGCCAGGCACAGATAAGGAAAACGGACACAAAGTCTGTGTGGCAGACAGCTGCAGCCTCAGACATGATGGAGCAGTGGTATCTCCCACCCCACACCCTGCAAACTAAAAAGAGGAAGCTTGATGAAAGAAATGAAACTGCTATTGTGCTTGGCCTGATGACAGTATCTATGAATACTCCAGTGTCATTCCGGTGCTAGGGACATGGGAGCATTTTGGAACCAGGAAACACGGGCTATCTGAGTTTCCACATCATGTCAGCTTTCCCATTATGCTCCAAAGAAGCTCTCACAGCAGCCTGGAGTTGGTGGAGCAGGGACTATTGCCTTCATTTGAGTTGTAAGGAAATTATGGTCCAGAGGTTAACTGACTCTCTCTGGGTCACACAGCATGTAAACTACCAGGCCAGACCTAGAAAATGTCCTCTGAGTCCTATAAGGACTTCTCCCCTGGTCTCCCTGCCCGGTTGACAGTGTTACACAGGGTCTTCCTGGGTGTGCCACACAAATTCTGGGCCTGTTTCCTCATCTGCATAGTGAGAAGACTCACGCCTAGCTCACGCTACCAGCCGTGGCACCTAGAAGAGTCTCTGACAAGCAGAGGGTTAAAGTTCCAAATATATGCAAAGGTCTCACAACTGTAACACCAATCACTTTTCATGCCTAGATGCTTTTAACAGAACATAAAAACTTTATAACCCTCATGCCTGTGTTCTCTGTGGGGGAAACCTTGGTCTGGAATTATTGAGAGTCCTGGGAAAGCAAGAAGTGACCCAGCTCTTTGGCTGTCTGACTACACTCCTTTGGAAGAGGCAGCTTGTCTTGCTGTCTCCCCTTTCTGGCTTTAGAGAGGTGGCTGCCCCTGCCTGCCACCTATCCTGATCACACACAGAGTGAAAAGTGGTGAAAGAATTATAAAAGGGCAGCAAGATGTGCATCTCTTCTCAAGTTCTTTCCGGTTATATGTGACTCCAGGCAAATCTTTTTATGCACTGAGGCTGGTTTTCTCATTACTAAAAATGAGGGATGGTATCCCTGCCCAGCTGGCCTCCCACAGTTGCTATGGAACCACCAATAAGATTATATCTGGGAAAAGGACCAAGGACCCCCTGGGAGATGGCCGATTCCAAAACTGAGGCAGGGGAAGTTCGGGGGAGACGAGACTCTCTCATTATGTCAGAAAGCAGGAAACGTACAGAAACTGATGGAGAGTGAGCAAAAAGACATAAAAACCAGCTTAAAGGTCAAATTTGAGACAATTTGAGCATCATAACAAGTCATGACATGATAGTATATAACCCACTTAATTTTTTAAATCCACAAACCAATATTGATAGCACCAAAAAAAGGGGGCAGAAGGAAAGCTTTTCTTAACAGAAGAACACCAACTAATAAATGATAGAAAAATCACTAATTTATAACCACCACAGTGATAACTGATTCAGGTAAGATCATCAAGGAATGCTAAAGCTGCTGTGTGAAAGGTTGTGATACAGGATGTGCAGAAACCCAGACACCATCTTCATTGAACGACCAACATGAAGAGCACCAGTGACAGGACAAACCCATGTCAGCTGCCTCTCGATGTGACGCCAGAGAAAGACTCAACATCACTTACACAACTCGCCTATCAAAATGTTTAGCCTGAATTCAACCTGAATCTGAGATCAACCCAGATTAAAGGGCATTCTGCAAAACGAATGGCCCAGGCTCTCCAAAAATGTCTATGTCATCAAAAATTAAAACAAAACTTAAAAGCTGGGGAATCCTTTTATAGATTAAATAAGACTAGAGGGACCTGACAGCTAAATGCAACCTATGATCCTGAAATGGATCCTGGATTAGGAAAGAAAAGGGAACAAAATCATAAAGGACATTTAGGACAATTAAAAAAAATTTCAAAACAGACTGTATGATAGGTAAGAGCCAAAAATAAGCGTATGTGTGTGCTCACTCACACACACAGGGCAGAGGGAAATAGAGCAAGCAGGACAAAATGTTAACAACTGATGAATCTAGGTGAAAATGTTCACTGTACTATTCTTGTAAATTTCCTGTAGGTTTGAAAAATTTCAAAACATATGAAACTAGCAAGGTCCTATCAATCCTTGGAAAGTCGTGGTGTCCACAGTGACTCGGGCACACTTACCTGTCAGGTACTCCAGGACAGCGGCCATGTACACGGGCGCCCCAACTCCAATCCTGTACTTGGGGTGGCCTTTCTTGATGTACCGCAGCATCCGGCCCACAGGGAAGATGACTCCCGCCTTGGCAGACCGGGAGGTTTTGGTGGACTTCTTCTTCCCACCCCGGCTCGACATGGCCGTGGCCCTGGAGATGGATCAGTAAGCACGCTGTGGAGGCAAGAGGGGCACCAGTCAGGATCACTGGGGACAGTGCATCTCCCCCTCCTCAGTGCACTCTGACCCCTGGAAGAAACGGGTCCTGCCAGCAGATCCCAATGCCTACAGCCACTGAGCGCCACGAGCCTAGTTTACACAGTCCCCCCCATGCACTTCGGCCCCTGAAAAGAGAATGGCTTAGATTTTCACTTTTTATACCATGACATCAATTTTATCAGCCACTTCCACTTAAATGTTACTCTGACAATGACTGCTCTTAAGTGCCTTGCCTTTATGCCACATGATGTAAAAGAAAATGGGATTTCTTGGCTACAAACTATACACTTGCTAAATAATTGTATTTTCATACACTTGAGACCAAGGCAGATAATTTGCTGAAGCCTTCATGAAAGAAAAAACTATGTCACCTGCCCCTAGAATGAAGATGTAAAGCAGGTATCTAGGTTCTTTGATGAAAGCAGCATTTCTACCTAGTGGTCCTTTATCTGTGAGAGGCAAGACCAGCTCACAAGAGTTCAGTTCAGTGGCCAGGCTGGAGTAAGAGGCCCTCTGAACACTTCCAGACTACTAGACACGCCTGTCCTTAGAGAAGACGAAGGAGAGTTCTTCTTTCCCTGCCCCTTCTTCCAATCCCCAACCCAAAAGCCCCTTCTTCAGCACCTTTTGTGGGATCTTCTCTCCTCTACCCCGAATGTGACTGGATCTAGGTCACCACTATCTTAACCAAATGCTCACAAACGTCTCCTAAAAAGGTCTTCTCACCATAGGCCACACTCTCCTCTAATCCACCTGCCCTCCGGTGGCTGGGCTATCTTCGTACATGCAAAGCCGAAAATGCTGTGGCCCTGGTCTTACAGTTTTCTCTGCTGCCACAATTTCCAAGATAAAATCAGGACCCTTGGCCTGCCATGCAATGCCCTAGAAATCTAGGCCTGGCACACCCACCCAGCTTTACCTGTGCTTCCTGCAGTCTAAACGTGAACACAGGGGAGTCCCCCAAACGCCCTCCTCTGCAGGGGCTATACCCTTTTGCCAGAACCTCCTTTACCCCTCATGCTTTTCTGCCCTCTGCTAACTCTTCCCTGAGTGCTCCAACTGAGCTGCTCCATCCTCTGGGCTCCTATGTGCTTCATGCCACAACACTGCCCCCATCTCTCCCATCATACTGTAAGGTCTCAGAGGGCTGCCCCTGACTGTATTCCTAATGGAGCACCACATAGTAAGGTCACAGCTACTTGCTAAATGCATTCACTTCAGGAACTATGCTGGGGACTGGAGACAGCAGTTCATGAGACAGATATGGTCCCTGCTCTCCCAGAGCTGATGGGGAAGAGAAACAATAACTAACCCTACAGTCATTTAAATGGTCATTGTGAAAGGCCAGTGCAGGGTGCTGGGTGAGGGGCTCTCAAGAGGCCTCAGCCTGTTCTGGGCACCAGACAAGCCTTGCCTAGAAGACATTTACGCTCAGACCACTGAACCAAATGGACAGGTCTCGGTAAACTGAGGTCAGGCTCTGTGATGTGTGGGCCCCTCCAGCTCTAACAGGTCCACATGGAGGCCACAGAGTTAGGAGTCCTTGTTATTTTAACACCTAACCCTACATTCAAGACATGCATGTCCATACCTAACATCAGGATAATCTCAGACCATCTGGCTGACAGAGATGGCCACTACAGCAGAGAGCAGATTCCTGGGCACTCTGGGGCAGCTGTGTGGACAGGCCCACTAGAATTAAGGGGGCTCAAGCCTTGGTTCTTGATGGATGCTAGAGGGGGCTCATGACCTCTGTGATGAGAACCCCGTACTTCACCCTGTCAAGAAGGGCACCAAGTCTTAACTGACCACAAGCACTAAAGAGTCCCAGGAGGGTCTGGTTTTTCTGAGACAAATAGCTGGCTCCACTTCTTGCTGTAATGAGCTCTGTTTAAAAACACTCCCTGCAAACAGGTGCCCATGCTCACTCTGAGCAGGAAATAGTATGTGTATACATGTGTGCACATGTTGTTTGCAGGGAAAAAGCTGTAACTGGGCTCCTAGCAGTCTTCTGCTTTAATACAAATGTGTTCCACAGACCAACCCAACGCCTTTAGACCAAGAGCTTTTAGATCTGAGTGCTTCCCCTCTTCCAGGAGAGGCCTGTGGTCAGTGATGACTAACACAGCTCAGGCCTGTTCTCACTGGAGCACAGACTCCAGCTCTGTCTCCAGGAAGACCTGTAAGGGTATGTTTGGGGCTGCCTTTGTGGGAATTGGACAATGTCCTGCCTCAGAGAGAAGCCATGATTCAGGGACCTGATGAGTCCCAGACACATTTATTCCTTAAAAGTAATCCTCCAGGGCTTTCCTCTGACTCAAGCCAAGAGTCTTTAGGTCGACATGCTGGTGACTCCCAGGTCCCTAGCCCAGCACACACCTGGCTGGTGAGTCCCAGAGCTCTGTTCTGACTACCCTGTAAGTCCCAAAGGCACCTCAACTCCTCTGGGTATCTCAGCCCCAGGGGTGGCAACATCATGCATCAAGCTACCAAGCAGGAGTCAACCTGTCCCTACTTCCCTGCCCACCTCCACAGCACCCAGTCATTAGCCAGGCTCTGTTGAACTCACTTCCGTAACTTCTCAAACTTCTTCCTTTCTCTTTGCCCTCCCTGCTTCGGTTCAGCTCTCGCTACTTCTCACCTGTCCTCCCCAGCACCAGTCTCTCCATGAACACCAGAGGTCTCTGCCCACTTTACTGATTCCCCATCACCCGAGACAGCCACAAACATCATCCTCCAACCACTTCTGCAGCACTGCTTCCTGCCACCCCTGCCCAGGCTCAGATGGCCCAGGCTGCCCCTGACTTCCTGACCTGTGATGTTGTGTCCAGAATGTCTTTATACATGCTGCTTCTCCTGCCTGTAACACCCTCTGTCCCCTTGCCAACCTGCTAAACTGATATTCACATGACCCCTCTTCTTGGTCCTGACCATAGACTGGAATTGCTCACTGCTCCGTGTTCTCACAGCCTATATCCTAGCACACATCTGTGAACCTACCTTCCCAAATCGACTCAGCTTCAAGCTACTCCATGCCAGGTGCTGTAGTCAACTCATCCAAAGGTCCCCAGGTCCCAAGAACGATCATAAACATCAGTGCCACTATGCTGGTAGAACATCATCTTGTCTCATCTGGCGCCAGGTTCCTCTCTAAATAGAGCAGTCCCAAGTCTCTATCCCCATCCCAAGGGGTCCATCCTCAAGAGAGTCTGTTCCTTGCCACTCCTCGTGTTCTTCCTACACTTCTAACTATCTCCAAGCTGCAGCCACAGCTATGGAAGAATTCTACTAAACTGTGCAGCCTCATGACATCCACTAATGTGTAGCAATGTTAAAACATCATTTGGAAAATCATGTTGTGCCTGTGCAGTCTCCAGCTAAACCCATACATGTGCCAGGTCCATCCTGCTCTTTAGAGGTCGATGGGACATGGGGAGCTATGGCCAGGCACCAACGTGGGGGGAAGAGAGTGGCTGTGACAGAAGTGCTTAATAACTTGAATTCCAAAGTCAGACTGACCTGATTCGAGCCACGGCTCCGCCACTTAGTGACTATATATTCTAGACTAGCTGATATAAGAAATAGCCCCACAGCTCACTTCTCACTTGTGAAAAGTTCCAAGTGGCTTCCATGGTTGGCTGGTGCTTCTCTACAGGATGATTCGTGGATCCAGACTCCTACCACTCTTCAATGCACAACTGCCAGCGTTACCATAGAAGGGAAAAGGCCATGGAGGACAACTCATAGGGGCTTTCAGAAACCAGGTCTGAAAGGGGGGCACACCATTTCTGACCAGGATCCATTGATTAGAACGTGATCACATGGCCACACCCAAGTGCAAGAGAGGTTAAGAAATGTCCTCTAGCTATTTGCTCTGAAGAAAAGAGGAAACAGCAGCCTCCGTAACATGACAAACCAACTTGAAAGGTAACCCTGAAGCCAGGTTCTGAGTGACCAGTCAAACCTGACTTTGACCCATGTCCTGCATCCAGCCTTTTCTGAGAGATGGACAGTCTTTCATCATAAAGAAAGTGGATTTTTACACACTCAGCTTCTCTTTAGGGCACTGACCTTGCTCACAGGAGAAATAGCAATAATACCTTGTCAAACTGACAAAGCTCTGTCCTTCCTTCCAGGAGGGCACCCTATTCAGCAAACCAGAAGCCCTCACCCCTGTAGAGGGCCCCACATGCTTTGAAGACAGTGATAGGTCTTCTGGCAACCCTGGCATCGTTCATCACTGAACAATGACTTGGCTGTCTTTTTGACTGTTACCAGGCCAGGAAATGAAGATTCTGTGGTTGGTCCTGAAGGGATCTCTGTGGTCTTTATCTCTGCAACACCTCTAACTACAAATCAATCACAATAGACACAAACCTTCTCTGCAGAAACCCAAAGCTCACCCTGAGACACACTAGGGAAGGGGACTGTACAAAGAGGAGCCAGGATCAAGTGAGAAGCAGGTCTCTGACCACAGGCCTCCCAACAATGGAGATGTGATAAGGACAACGCGACCTGTCCTCAAAGCACAGGACAAATGATAAGCCTGGTTGTGAGGATCCCGTGAATAAGATGGACACAAAACATAGAGGAGCAGCAGAGATGAGGAAGGCAAAGGGCCATCCTACCTACCACACCATTCTATTCCTAGCCCACAGGGCACCCTAACTGGCGCCTTGCTGCACAGCAAACCACCTTCGTTCCTACCTCCACCCTTTGGCACATGTCACTTGCTCAGTCTGGAACGCTCTCTCCAGCCCTCAGTTTGAAGCAGTCCTACCAATGGACCCAGTGCCTCCTCTGGTGATGGAGATCTATCAAGGAGCTCCTCCTCTGCATTCCTGCAGTGGCTGTGCCATATGGCCCCCAGTCCCAGCCTAGCATGGAGCAGCCCCATGTCCAGACTCCACGCAAGGCCCTGGTGACCTCTGGCCCACTATGCCTATTTCAGCAATTGGGGACCCACTCTGTTTCTTCAGTAGACATTCCTGTAGTGGACCCTGAGCCCAGCTAAAAAATCCCTTATAATGAACCTCAGCCACCACTGAAGTATGTTCAGTTGCTCTTCTCAGTCTTTATAAAGTGCTTTGCAAATGCAGCTTCTAGCCCTTCCTTCCAACCTAACTGCCACTTTGGATACAATTTCTGTAAACATTCTAGAGCCAGCTTCCCCAATCTCAGCACTGGTCACACTGTATCACCACTACCTATTTCCTTACCTGTCCTGATGGGATGGACCAGGCTACTCTGCTCACCACTGTATCTCCAAAACCTACCACCCTGCCTGGTTCCTGGAAGGCCCTCAAATGCTGGCTGGGTGGTGACTGATTAGCTGGCATTTACAGTGAATGGGGTTCTCCTCACAAAAATGAGGGCAGCATTTCCAAAGGCCACAGGATTCATCAAGAAGTGGCAAGAGAGAGATCAGTCAGGGACTTTCTCTGGGGCCAGTCTCTCACACAATACCTAGCCAATCTCTGTGGGAGTGCAGACTCAAAATTCACGGAGCTTGCGGCGCACTACCTTGGGGTTTCCCAGGAAGGGAACATCACAACTTCCCTGGTGGCTGATGTAGGAGAATGCAGAGGCCTTCCGACTCCCTGACGATTCTATGGCTCCAGCAGCCTCTCTTCTTGCCATAAGATGGGCTCAGTAACACAGACCAGAAGAAAATACTTACCTTCCTCATAACTGTAAGATGCTGACATCTGTTAAAGTTGCAGCATAGAAAACTCTTAAATAATCAGGGCACTCACAAAACCATCAGAATGCTCAATGGTTAAGTCTTTTATTATCTAAGTGATGAATGCGTGCATATTGATCTGAACTAAATATTGATTAGAACTGCTGGGAGACTGCTAGTCAGACAACCCTAGCTCCAGCACCGCAGGATGGAGGGATGTGAGCTATCAGCATTCAAGTCACTGTTAGGGAGGGAGGACTGCCCCGTCCACTCCCTGCAGCTAGATAAATGCCCAAGTGTCCACATACATTTGTAACCTTCCCATCAACTCCAATCATGAAGGCAAACCTGAGACACTTTATTCTTCAGCGCAGGACACTAATCCTGTTTATAGCATTCTCTTCGGTTTACTCCTATTGTACCAAATGATTAACAGTATCACTGCTGTCACATCCCCAGAGACATGTGGATATTCTACACAACTATCCCTCACAGAGCTGGGGTTCACAAGCTACACTCTGATTGGCTCAGAACAGAGACTTCCACTGGTACTCTGGCCAATCAAGAAAAACACCTCTCTCCATTCATTAAACACTACATCTTAAAATGAGCTGGATGATTAAAGAACTTACAGTCTACCCTCAGTGAACCAAGAGCTCGCAAACAGGGAGAGAAGGATAAATTGAGACAGTAAATAAACTCTAAACTCCACATTTTGCTCCAGCAGACATCACTTTTCTTAAGTGCTAGGTTTTTAGTGGAGGGAAAAAAACAAAACCCAAACGTGACTGTTACTCACTACAAGCAGGAAACAGCAGGAAGCTAGTCTGGGATTAAAACCTCATCTCTGCAAACTCACTCTATGGTGTGTTCCTGAGCAACACTGGTTGGAACCAGCACAGTATTTCAATAGTAAGGGGCTGTCTGCCTGCTTCATAAGGAAACTTTCCTTCACCCCTCCTCCCTCTTTTAAAGGCTGTGCCAAACTCGGAGCCAGTCACTCCAATGCAAAGCCATCAAAGGAAAATGTGAGCTTCAGTAGGGCAAGACTCTGGTCAGTCTTGGCATCTAGAAGCTATTCAACACTTGAATAGATGAAGTATTCCCAATAATAAAGGACACCTGACCAAATCTTCCTCTTACCCAGAGCGTGCAATGCCTTATTACTGCTCTAAGGAAGAAGTCTAAACCCCCCAATGTGTTTCTCCTCAGGATCCTCTATGATTTGGACCATTTGGCCCTCTAGCCTCACCCTCTAGGATCCGGCCATCCTGAGCCTCCGGCAGTTCCCCCACATGACTTCCTGTTCTCATTGTTCTAAGACTCTGCACATGGTGTGTAGGTCTCAAACACTTGTCCCTTCCTGCCCTCCTCTGCCTGGCCAACTCTTCCTTGGCCTTTCCGTGCCTGTTGAGGGCTTGCTCCTGGTTAGGTTATTGTCCTGGGAGCCACTGTGGCCTCCTGCACTGAACTTGCAATAGCTGCTTGTCTGCCTTCTCTTCATGTCAGCTCCCCAAGGACAAGAACTGGGCTTTTTCCTATTTTTTCTTTACTAGATTGCCAGTTTATCATAAAAGGACATAACTCAGGAACAGCCAGATGGAACAGACACACAGGGCAATGTAGGGAGCTTCCATGCCCTCTCCAAGTGTGCCACTCTCTCCAAATCTCTACATGTTCACCAATCTAGACAGTCTCTGAAACTTGTCTTTTGGGTATTTTTGTGGAGGCTTCATTACACAGGAGGCATGACTGAATAAATCACTGGCCATTGGCGACTGATTCAACCTCACCCCCCTCCCCTCCTCAGAGGTAGAGAGACATGGCAAGACCGGGCATTTCTTGATCAGGTTCTGTCTCCAGTACCTAGCCCTCAAGAAACTGATTCTCAAGAAATATTTGCTGAAAGACTGCAAGACATTGATCCAGCAGGCTTGATCCAAGCAAACAAGCTATACAACTCTTTGCAATGAAGAGCTGACTCACTTGGGCTCACTCATAAGAGCTGAGGTGGGGTGCAATGTACTTCTAAACCTACAGAACATGGAAAAGGACCCATAGGACAGGTCTGGGCTCCACTAACCTCTGCCCCAACCCAGCCTATATGCCAAGAATGGGGCTCTGAAAAAGCTGCCACAAATCTAAGGGCACACTGAAATGAGAGCTAAAGGCTGCTGCAATTCTGATGAACACCATATATAGATTCTTGCTGAGTTTTGTCAGGTTGAGGTTTTCAGTTTGTGCTTTGGTTTATTTTTAAATGAACTTCCTTCAAATGGCTTGGGGCAGCATTAACTCTGAAGCTATTAGAGGCAGGTCCTAGAATACGTGTATGTATTCCAAGCATCTCTCTGAGGAAGCCATGAGGGCTCTTCCCAAGATCTGCTGTCTCCAGGACCAGAAGAAAAGGCAGACTGAGACGCACCACTCCCTGACCCTGGCCCATTTGGTATAGGCCAAGCCAGTGACTTATAGTTGTGTATCAGAATGCTGTGTGTGATGTTCCAGACAACTCTCAAAGCTGAATAAAACGTGAGCCATCCCGCCCTCATTCTAGAAGCCCTGCCTCAGTTTTCACTTACTTTAACCCCTCCCCTCCTCCTTAATGCCTTTATTAAGGGATCAGCATTAACAATCTTAAGAGATTAAAGCAACAGTAGATTGGAGAGATTTCCCACTCTCCTAAAACTAGAATAAAGAATTTAAAGTCTTGAGGGTTTAAAAAAAAAGAGAGCGAGAGAAAGAAACAGGTTTAAAAACATATATTCTCATCAGCGAACCTCCTGTGCAAGACCGAGATGCCACTGCCCAGCTTTGGTTAGTTGTGTACAAGGGTTATTAATTCCAGTTGCAGGCATGAGGTGTTCATTTCGGAGCTAAAAACTCCTCTGACAGCAAGACTAAAAACCTATAGGTGATCTGGAGTACGTGGATTCCACCTAATTCACAACTAGTGTCTCCCACTCTAACCTAAAACTGTTCAAAACTCCCTGAGTCCTCAGAGCAGGGAGCCTTGGAACAAAGCACTTTCCCCCTTCTTTAATGATAAAAACCTCAAACCACAAAGGTGGAAGAAAGAGAAAAGCTAGCAGGAGTTCCCCTCTAATTGTCTATTCTTATATACTGTTTATTGGATCATTAAAGTCTTACAAGGACTTCATGAGAGTTTTAATTATTGAACTCAAGGTTAGTCTCAGATGTTTGCACAGAATTCTCTCACTTTCAAACTCAGGAATATTTGCCCCTAACATGTTGTCTAAAAGAACCTTCCAAACAATCTACTAACAAGATCCTTGAGTGATCCGTGGCCCCTGCACGAGTGGAGGCGGGGCAGGCCATCTCGCACACCTGTTGTCAGGTAACTCAGCCGGCAACATCCTGCGCGTTCACCTCCTCACTCCCCCCACCCCCCAGCGAGTCTCTCCTCTCCTGGCCTTCTCCACCTGAGGAGCCTACAGCCTTCAGGAGTTACCTTAAAAACAAACAAAATAAAACAAAAAAACACCTCCCAACCACAAAGCAAACAAAAGGCCAAGCAAGAAACAAGCCAGAGGAGAGGGGGTTCCCATGGCCCCTTTCCAGCCTCCCTGGACAAATCCCTCCCCGCCCCTGTCCTGTTCCAATCCGGGAGTATCCCCCAACCCCCGGCCCTACCCTCCCAAAAGACGCCTACACCACGGCCACTTGGGGCTCAGACCCAACTTACTGTGCGGGGGGCCGGCAACTCGTGGGCGGGTGGGCACCTTACCAAGTACAACTCCGCGCACAACAGCTCCCAGGCGCCCAGGCCCAGGCTGGCCGGCCAGCGCTGCCGCGCCTCCCCCGGCCTCGAATCCAGCCCGCCCGCCCCGAGAATAGTCGGCCTGGGAGGCGCCAGGGCTGTTTTCTGCCCACAAAAGCACCCAGGCGCGGGCAGGAGAACGCGGTTCTAAGAGAAGTTGG